GGGGCCATCGGGCGCGGGGCGCGCAAACGATGGCTGGAGCACGGTGGTGAGACGGGGCGGTAAAAACCGCAACGTCCCTGAGAGGCAGACCCAGAGTACTCAAGGTACTCAGAGGAGCTCTGGGGCCCCCTCTCAGGGTAAGAAGGGCAAACCGGCCCCGCCCTCACCATCAAAACTGCGCGCACCGCGCTCGGCGGCCGTAGTTGTCTCCCTCTGTCCGGAGGCGGAAGCGTACCTACTCAAAGGTCCTCAAGGAGGCGAAGGACAAGATTGACCTCGCCTCCTTGGGCATAAACAGCCTGCGTTTTAAGACCGCGGCCACTGGGGCCCGGATCCTGGAGATCCCAGGGTCCCAGACGGGAGACCAGGCCGATGCGCTCGCGTCGAAGTTCCGGGACGTCTTCCCGGAAGGTACAGTCCGAATCGCCAGGCCCACCAAGACGGCCGAAATGAGGGTCATGGGCCTGGATGACGGTACCGACCGGGAGGAGGTGGCGGCCGCCGTGGCACAGCACGGCGAGTGCACGGCGGACGCCGTCAATGTCGGGGAGATTCGGCGCGGCGCGTCGGGCCTGGGCACCTGCTGGGTGCGGGCCCCATTGGCCGCGGTGAAGAAGGTCACGACAGCAGGGCGGATCCGGATCGGCTGGGTCTCGGCCGCCGTGGAGCTGCTGCGGCAGAAGCCACTCCGGTGCTTCCGGTGCCTCGAAAGTGGGCACGTGCTGGCCAGGTGCTCGCACGAGGAGGACCGGAGTGGCTTGTGCTACCGGTGTGGGGTTCCCGGCCACAAAGCGGCCGGATGTTCGGCGGCCCCACACTGCGTGGTTTGCGCAGCGGCAGGTCGCCCAGCTGACCACCGGGTGGGGGCCAAAAAGTGCCCCCAATCCCGGTCCAAGAGAGTGAGGGGATCCGCACTGTCGTCGGCCCGCGGCAATGGCCGCCGGGGAGAGGCTGAGGTGATGGACACCGGTTAATAATGGCAGTCCATCGCCTCCTGCAGGGGAATCTGAACCACTGCGCGCGCGCCCAGGATCTGCTTCTGCAGAGCGCGGTGCAGTGGGGTGTTGACCTTGCAGTGGTCGCCGAACCATATCGTGTCCCACGAAGTGACCATTGGTTCGGCGACCCCTCTGGCCTGGTGGCCATTGTCGGCGCGGGCAACCCCGCGACCCCGCTCGTCAGCCGCCTATTCGGCGGAGCGGGGTACATAGGAGTGAGTTGGTGGGAAACCGTCGTTGTCGGGACATACTTCTCTCCGAACAGGACTCTCGCCGAGTTCGAGCAGTTCATGGACGGGCTGGGGGCCGCTCTGGAGCTATACTCGGCCCGTCCAATGATGGTGATGGGGGACTTAAATGCCAAATCCACGGCATGGGGCTCCCCCATCACCGACTCTCGAGGCAGGGTCCTGGAAGACTGGGCGGCCGCGGCCGGCCTGGTGGTGTTGAACCGAGGGTCGGCCGCCACGTGCGTGAGACAGCAGGGGGAGTCGCATGTCGACGTATCCCTCTGCAGTCCAGCGATCGCACAGAGGGTGCGGAGCTGGCAGGTGTTGGATGAGGTGGAGACTCTATCCGATCATCGGTATATCCGGATAGATGTTCTCCCCTCACCCGTAGCTCCGCACCCCGGTCGCCAGGAGAGGAATGTCCCACAACTCCCCAGATGGGTGTTGAAACGTCTGAATAAAGACGTGCTGATGGAGGCTTCCATCGTCCAGGCCTGGGTTCCCATACCGGAGGGGCCTGTGGAGGTCGACGCAGAGGTGGGCTGGTTCGGTGAGGCTCTGTCGCACATTTGCGACGCGGCGATGCCCCGAGCCGGCCCTCGACCTCCTAGGCGTCAGGTGTACTGGTGGTCGGAGGAGATAGCGGCGTTGAGGGAGGAGTGCTCCGCCGCCCGCCGCCGGTACACCAGGCACCGCCGACTCAGGCGGGGCCGCGACGCCGACGAGGAAGCACAGCTGTACGAGCAGTACAAAGAGAGGAAGAAAGCTCTGCAGCTGTCCATCAGCAGGGCCAAGGAGACAGCCAGGGAAGAACTCCTGGAGACCCTGGACAGGGATCCATGGGGGCGTCCTTATAGGTTCGTCAGGGGCAAATTACGCCCCTGGGCGCCCCCCGTGGCAGAGGGTCTCCAGCCGCAGCAGTTGGAGGAGGTGTTGGAGGAGCTGTTCCCGAGACAGCCTCCCTTCACACCTCCTCCGATGATGCCGCGTGGCAGTGATGGAGAGGCCAGCGGCGTCAGCGCTGCTGCGGTTCCTGCCATCACCGTGGAGGAGTTCGCCGCGGCCGTGGATAAACTCCGGGGCAAGAATGTCGCCCCGGGTCCGGATGGTATCCACGGCCGCGTCCTGGCCTTGGCCCTAAACACCCTAGGGGACCGACTCCGGCGCTTATTCAATGCGTGTCTGGAGTCGGGACGGTTTCCCAATCAGTGGAAAGCGGGTAGAGTGGTCCTGCTCCGCAAAGCGGAGCACCCCGCAGGTTCGGTGGTTCCCTCGGCGTTCCGCCCCATAGTGCTGTTGGACGAGATCGGCAAGCTCTTCGAGAGAATCTTGGCGGGCCGACTCGTCCAACACCTGTCTCAGGTAGGTCCCGATCTCAGCCCGAAGCAGTTCGGGTTCCGAGAGGGGCGCTCGACGATCGACGCGATCTCGCGTGTGCGCTCCCTCTCGGAAGAGGCGACGTCCCAGGGTGGGGTGTTGTTGGCGGTCTCTCTAGACATTAAGAACGCCTTCAACACCCTGCCCTTTGCGATTATTAGGGAGGCGCTGAAGTACCATCGCGCGCCTCCCTATATTCGGGACGTGATCGGGGCCTATCTCGAAGACAGGTCTGTGCTATGCACGGGGCGGAACGGCGTTGTAGTGCCGAGGGAAATGCAACGCGGTGTTCCACAGGGGTCGGTTCTGGGCCCGATCCTGTGGAACATCGGGTATGATTGGAACCTGCGGGGCGCCCTTTTAACGGGCACTGACCTCGTGTGTTACGCGGATGACACCTTGGTCACTGCCCGGGGGCGGGACCTACTGGAGGCTACCCGCTTTGCCACGGCATGCGTGGCGCTGGTCGTCGGTCGTATAAGAAGGCTTGGGCTCCAGGTGGCGCTGGAGAAGACCGAGGTCCTGTGTTTTCATGGGCCTCGGCGTGCGCCACCTCCGGATGCCCAGCTGGTCGTCAGTGGCCAGAGGGTGGGGGTCAAGCCCTGTATTCGATACTGGGGGCTTGACCTGGACAGTCGTTGGAGCTTCCGCGCTCACTTCCGGAACCTGGTCCCTCGCCTTATGGCAGCCGCCGGCGCTCTTAGCTGGCTGCTGCCAAATGTGAGGGGCCCGGGAGAAGGTTCCCGCCGCCTATACCTCGGCGTGGTGCGGTCCATGGCCCTGTACGGGGCCCCCATCTGGGTGGGGGCCCTAGGTAGGGAAAATGTGGCCTGCCTCAACAGGCCACACAGGGTCATGGCCATACGGGCCATAAGAGGCTACCGCACCATATCCGGGGAAGCGGCGGGTCTGCTGGCGGGGTCTCCTCCGTGGGACTTGGTAGCGGAGCTCCACGCGTCAGTGTACCACTGGCGCGCAGAGCGACGTTCCATGGGGGAGGCACCCGCTGGTCATGAGATCGAAGCGCGGAGGTCCGACTTTCGGCGGATCCTCAGGATCGAATGGCGGGCAAGGCTAATGAGCCCGTCAGCCGGCCTGAGGACCGTCGAGGCTGTCCGTCCCATCCTCAAACGGTGGATGAATAGGAAATGGCCACTGACGTACCGCATGACACAGATATTGTCCGGGCACGGTTGCTTCGGGCGGTATCTGTGTCATGTGGCGAGGAAGGAGCCGACGACCGGCTGCCACGAATGCGGAGGTGTTGAGGACACGGCGCAACACACGCTGGAAGAATGCCCAGCGTTCGTGAGTGAGCGCCGTGTCCTCACACGAGTAGTGGGGGACGATCTCTCGCTGCCGAATTTAGTTCGGAGGATGGTCAGTAGCGAGAGATCGTGGCTGGCGGTGAGCTCCTTCTGCGAGGAAGTTATCTCGCGGAAGGAGGCGGCGGAAAGGGAGCGGGAGTCAGCTCGTCCCGCTTCCCTCCGCCGCAGAAGAACCAGGCCTAGAGATGGGGGCGTATCCAACTCCGCCCCCCTCTATCCCCCACTGGGGCCGGGGTGACTGCCTTGAGGGAGGCAGTCCCCCAATCCAAAGGCCCCGGAGGTGTGCGCGTGTACCCACACGCCTCCACAATGGAGTAGGGCGAAATAGGTCGCCCTAACCACAAAACGAGATGGGGCCTGCCCTACAACATCTACAGGGCGGGCGGGCCGTCGCCGTCGGAGCTGGGGTAGAATGCACTTGCGAATCCCCTGGCTCCGGCATAGGCGCTCGTAGGTACACCGTGTGGTTTTTTAGTGGGTACAAGTCCCACACACCACCTCGCCATCCCTCCGGCGGGGTGACGGTCTTTTGAAGATTTTTCCACACGTTAAAAAAAAAAAAAAAGGTCTAAAGTCCTTAAGAAGTTGTGGGGATGATACTTTAGGTAGTGGTAGAACGAAAGCATTTAGCCATGCTGCAGGAAACTCGGAAGAAATTAAAGAAAAGTTAATGATGTGAGTAATGATAGGAAGCAAGTGTTTAAGTGAGAGAGTAACCATAATCCTACTCACATCATCTGAACCAATACAATTGGACTTTATGGAAGATATTATCTTGTAGACTTCATCGTCAGTAACTGGTGAAAATAAAAAATCTACAGAAAGTCTAGGCCATGAAGTTATCTCAGCTAAAGTAATGGATTTCTGAGAATCGCTCAAAGTGGGAACGGTGGAAAAGTGCCTGTTCAGGTCATTTAATGAAAACTGTGAGGAAAAATCATTTGGCTGATTGCACAGCCCAAGTGATTTGAGAAACTTCCAGATATTGGCCGATGAGGAATTTTGAATATTAGAGTGGATGTAACGGCGTTTAGCAGCTCTTACCATATAGTTGCAACGGTTACGTGCTAATTTAAAATTCTTCCAGTTCTCCTCCTGAAAATCATTGAGGTCATTACGTATTTCTGCGGCGGGTTAATCCTGTCATCTCCTCGCCACAGAAACTGTTGTGCTGCTCTATCTTCTTCCCTTATCTTAATCTGCAGGAACATCTCTCGTATGTCCGCCGTGATAGCTACGGGCTTCTCGCGGAAACGGTATAACACACCGTTAAGCGACCGTAGCATATCTGGCCCATCTAGCAGTGCGTCGTTCAAGCACATTCCCTTCGAACGGGCCGCGGCGTCGAATACGAGTCGCAGCTTTCCGGGTTTATTCGGATTCGTCACTCCGAAATGGGGAAGGTACCACGCGCGGTCGTTGTTGAACCGGTCGTCGGTTACTTTCTCGGCGTAACCCTTGTCCAACAACTTGTCTATCTCCGCGGTATACGCCAGCCGGAATTCCGTAGAGCGATCCATCCGCCGCTCTATTCCCCTCAGTCGGCTCGCTGCCATGTCGTAGCTGGGAGGTAGAATGACGTTATCTCTCTCCCACGGCAATCCTACGACGTATCGCCCATCCACTCTCGTCGCTGTGCGGTTGAATGTGGCGACGGCGCGCTCCTCCTTAGCGATGGGTAATCTCTTCGACGATATACCCAACGCGTCGATGTCGTAATGCGCTTTTATTATGCCCTCTATATGCCGCATATCTGGCTCGGCGTTGCGCTGTGTCAACCGCACGTGGAGGACATGTTCCTCGTCTTCCACGACACTTCTGGGTACCGTTCCGTGGATGACCCATCCCAGTCGTGTCAGCGACGCTGCGGGTTGATTATGCCTTCCTATGAGCAGCTTCCGCGTAACAATCAGATGCCAGTTGTCTGACCCGATCAAGACCTTGGGTCTGGCATCTTCGTAGCACACTTGCTCGCAAGTGAGTTGTCGCAGGTGTCCGTACGCGAGTATTTCCGGGTTCACTCGCTGCGTTCCTAGGGTGAGATCCCGGATCGTACGCGCCCTCACCGAGTGTTCTTCGTCCGTATGGTGTCGCCCTCTGATGATGACATCAGCCACTCGGCTTGAGGCTTCGTGCCAGCTCGAGGCCGCTCCCTGAATTCTCAGAGATCGCGTCGGACCTTCGGCTCCGATCTGTTCTGCGATCTCCGCATCGATGAGTGTAACCGTCGAGCCTTCATCTAGCATCGCGTACGTCTCTACTTCGCGTCCCGTCTTGCCTTTCACGATGATGGGACACACCTTTAACAACACTTGGCTGTTCTCTGGCAAGCGTGCTGCGGCTGTAATCGCGGTGTCCTCTTGCCGCTTCGGCGGCTCTTCTGGGGGGTGCAGCAGGGCGTGGTGTGGCTTACGACACTCTCTCACACCACATTTGCGTGCCTTACACTTGAACCTTCTGTGCGTGCTGTTCATGCATTGGAAGCACATCTTATTTGTTTTCGCCCACTCCCATCTGTCCGATAACGACATGTCGTTCAGCTTCTTACACTTCGGCGTTACGTGTGCGGCGCCGCAACAGAGACATTCGGTACTCTGTTCGCTCTTTTCTACGGCGGCGTATACGGCCGCGCCACGATCCGTCATCTGTCGCCAAGGTGCCGACATCGTTGCTTTCGGTATGGGTTGCCTAGTGGGTTGCTTCGGGGGCTGCTTCGTGGGTAGCGCGCTCGTTCGTCTCGTTGGTGATGCTATTCGCAGATGTCGGGTCATGAGATCGGCTTCGCTCATTAAAAACTCTGCCATCTTGATGATCGTAGGTCTAGTGTCCTCCTTGTTTTTTTCAGCGTAGTGACACCAGTGGACCTGTAAGTGAGGGGTCAGCTTCTCTGACACTTCACTCTCAAGCGCGGGATTATGTAGGAATCTCGCCCCCTGTCGATATCCGCGACGATGGTGGTGATGTTCTGTAGTTTAATGGCGAAGTCAATCACCTCTGTTGTCGATGTTCCTATTACCGGCATCCTTCTCAGATCTTTGAGGGCGCGGTCGATGATGGCCTCTGTCCGGCCGTACCGCTGCTCCAACGTCCTCATGATCTGCGACGGTTCTGTAGCGGATACGAGTAACGCTGCGACTGTCTCTCTCGCTTTTCCACGTAAGCAGGCCCTCAGCCTGGCCAGGTTCTCCGCTGGTGTGATCCTGTACGTCTTTGTAGACTGGTCTACGGCCGCCTTAAACGCTAGCCATTCACTTGCTTCGCCGCTGAAGGTCGGGAGATCTTGGGCTTGCCTCGGCGCTACCCTATCCGCTCGTTCGTCCACAGCTCGTTCAATAGCTTTGGCCAGCCGGGTGAATCCTTCTTGCATCCCGGCTTCAGGAGCGGGGGACCTCCGTCTTTGCTTCGGCGTCCTCGGCGGTGAAGCTTGCCTTTCTGTTGGCTCTTTCTGCGTAGGCGGTGGGGAATTAATTCTCTGCTCCCCCCGTACTTCGGTACGTTGAAACCAATCCGTTATACGTTGCAGGCCGGCACCTTCCTCGGAGCACACGCTATCTCTATCGGTCTCTTCATGTACCGCGGCGACATCGGCTGCCAACTTCTTTCTAATTAAATCAGCCTGTAATTTCGCCATCTGTAGCGCTGCCTCGTACTCCAGCCTCTTTAATTTAGCTATACCGCTAGCGGTAGACCGGCGCGATCGCACCGACGCGGCCCGGGCCGGACGTACATCTGTCGTCGGCGGCTGCGACGGTGGCGCCGGTGCGGAGACCGAGGTAAACGCGGCGCGGGTGGGTTGTGCCTGTGGCGCGCTCGACGGCGCGGCGGACGCGGACATCTGCCTGGTTTCTGAAGGCAACGCGAGGGTCTGTTCATTTTCCCGCGTGGTCTTTTTCTCTGCTCCCGGGGCTTGGCTTCTCGTAGTCGGCATCGTGTTCTGGCACTTGCAAGCCCCTAACCTACCGGTCCCTACCTACCTAACCGTCCCTAACAATCCCTCAGGATAACACCCGAGGGGATGGACTATGGGGATAGGAGGGTAGGAATTACCCCGCAGTGGTGCGTATGTACAGACGGGGCGCTCAGGGCCGGTTCGGACTTTCCGACCCCTTTGGCAGTGCCTACAGTCCGGCCCCCGCTATACGATACACACGTACAGGCGTAATAGTGCTATTCGGTTGCGCCACGGTAACAAGCAACAACCGGCAGTGACACACCACTCACTGCACCGCTCAATGGCGTTAACCCACACTCCGACCGTTTGACACCGTTAGGTGGTAAGAGATGTGAGCCGCGGACACACCGCTTAGACGTTATCTATCCTATATGGCGTAGACGTTATTTATCCTATCCTCGCTGCACCCTCAAGTTTTCACCTTACGACGGCAGCTAAATTCGGTAAGCTGCTAGCGTCGCACCGTTGGGTGATCTTCCTCGGCGAGGTACGTCGCACCGTTGGGTGATCTTCCGCGGCGATTCGTCGCACCGTTGGGTGATCTTCCACGGCGATTCGTCGCACCGTTGGGTGATCTTCGGTCTTGATATCCGGCTCGAAGGACCACAAAATTGTGGGGTACACAATTAAAAGATCTTCGATTTTCAAAATATGTGGACTGTATTTCAATTTGTTTCTTATTCTATGGGTCGGCCGGCCGGAGTGGGGTTTTCTTGGTCGTTGCGCCGGCGGTGGTTCTTCGTCGGTGGCGTATGCGTAAGAGAGCGCGATCGAGAACCAACCCGCCTTTTACGGGCGCCCGAGCGCGTCCTTCCCCACCCCCCCCGAGCCCGGCGCGTCGGCCGGCCCACCCTCCCGACAATTCCTGCACATGTCGGTGACCGACGGGCCGGAACAGCGAATACGCACACATTTAAAATTAAATACAATAGTAACAATACAAAAAACCACGTGCGACTAAATGTCACATGTTCAGGCTACACTAAAGCTGTGATCCCTAAGAATTTACACAATGGGCGGACATAGAATTCACAGTATCTATGCCGCTACAAAGGGTATATGGTACAAACAATAGTCTAACCTAAACAATAGTCAAAACACTGGAAAAATACAAATTTATACACAAAATTTATTTACATATTTTCGATGCCGACTCGTGGTCCGCAACATATACTATATAATGAATATATGAGTTCACTGGACCATCTATTTTAGGCTGCTACAATGTAGGTGCATTTCGTCATAATGTTTAGGAACTTCAGCACGTTACATTTGCGGTCTCTCTAATCTACTGCACTTAAAATGCAATAAGTCCCACATCCGAGCCGGCCAGGAAACGGGTTTACGCAATCATAGAAAGTACATGCATCGCCTGACGTGCACTGTGAACACTTAATCGTGGTTAATTATTAAGATGTTAAAATAAATTGTACCTATACAATATATATATATATATATATATATATTATATATATAGCTACCCACCTCGGCTTCGCACGGATGTACATGTATTATATATAAACCGCTTCAAAATCCGCTGCGTAGTTTTAAAGATTTAAGCATACATAGGAACGGACAGACAACGACATCAACTTTGTTTTATACTATGTAATGACTAATTGTGCCCGCGGTTTTGCCCGCGTTAAATGTCAATAAAAAGTATATATTTATTCCTATGCATAAGATATATTATTGTAAAGTTTCATCAAAATTCGTTCAGTACTTTTTGTGTGAAAGAGTAACAAACACCCATACGTACAAACTTTCGCGTTTTTTTATTTCGTTTTTTTTGTTGCCGTGATATACATACATATTTATATAACATATACCTATATAATCCACATGACTGTCAATTTACATTTTTTTTATAATTATTATTTCTTAATTCTTCTTTTCTCAATAATAGTGCACCTAGATACTATGCATATCTAAGCCGCGTAACTGTCAATTTACATTTTTTTTATCGTAATTATTTCTCTTAATTGCAAATAATACGCTTTTCATTGTAGATGTTTTTTAATTAATCTAATCTTAATAATAATGCAACAAACTAATAATGCACCATGTCATAATTCGACACGAAATATAATAGATCGCATCAGAATTCGACACTTTCTACTTATAATGTAATTGTAAGGATCCCAAGTTAATTTAACGGTATTTACAGACTTTACAAAAGATTAAGTAACACCGATGGGTAATGCAAATCTGTGCCGAATCTATTTATTGCAACCTAGAGCCACTCCTCCGACTCGCCCTCGTCACAGTTGCTATTGTCGTTAGACTATGTAATGCTAGAAATAGAAATAATCTTTATTCAAGTTTATATAATTTTTAAAAAACAGTAAAGGACGGTTTCCTATGTTGGTTAAAAAATAAAGAATTTTATAATCTGTGGGATTTTCTTGATAATACCGGACTCGTATAAGTATGGACTGGAGAGATCCTAATTTACCATAATAATTTTTAATACTCATACTAGTATTAATATCACAAACAGCTATCACTCGCTCGTTATCTTACTGCGGCTGCACGCCGTGCAATATTGTGCATCTGTGGCTCATTACATTTTGCGCGGGAAAATAAGAAATACTAAAAAAAAGACTTCTTATCTTGAAATGATAGTAAAGACCGTTACACAATCTATATTTAACTTAGTAACAGATAGACGAAAACACCAACTTTGTATTGTACTATTTATAAATGCTCAACTGCATCGTAATTAGGTTAGGCTACGTTTATCGCTTCAACAACAATAATGCTATTAGAATGAGTACGTCGTGGTTTAGTGGTTTATTGTCCTATTTTAAGATTAGAAAGGTCACGAGTTAGAATTTGGTCGACATCAAACACTGTTCTTATTATATATAAGAATCATACCAAATCATACATATCATTTTTGTATATACAAAGAAAGAAATATATAATAACAACTAACTCATAGTTGCACACACATTTTTTTGTATATGTAACAACATTTTATTATTACATATACAAAAAAATGCCTCCTGTTGGCCTCGGTGGTCTAGCGGTTTAACAAACCGCCATATTTCTGGTGGTCGCAAATTTGATTCCTCGCATTATTCAAACACTTTATGATTCATGGGCATGATTATTTGTACCGTTCTGGGTATTTTCTATGTATATTGTCTGTATTTATAGAAAAAAATGTATTTGTATCAGTTTTCTAGTACCCATAAAACAAGATCTGCTTAGCTTGGGACATCTAGTTCCAAGCTAAGCAGATCTTGTTTTATCTCTAATCTCAAATGGTGAACTCAAACTCAAAAAGAATTTCGTTAATTAACAACGATTAAGCCACTTACGTAGGTTAATTCTATACTATTCAAGGTTTTAATTATAATTTAACCTCTTTACAGACAACAGACAGTGCGGATTTCCTGGCAACTCGTCCGCACACGGCAGCGGTTATTCCCGGCAAACCCGCCGGGAATCCCCTCCAGTTCATCCGGGTAGGCCCCGCGGACCTCGGCAGCCGGGCGCGGGAACAGCTCCGTCGAGCTGAACTTGCTAAACGCACCACAGAGCCCGCTCGCTTTGAGCGGCAAGAAGACTGGCAGTCGGTAAGTCTTATTTCTTACAGTCATAGGGAGGGGATTTCTTTTTAAATTAGCAAAGTTTACTATACAATATAATATACTATAGAAAACTACGTTTATTGTCTGTGTAATTTTTTAAATTATGATAATAGAATCATCCTTCTGCGCTCACGCTGGCAAAGCATGATAAAATGATGATAGAAGCTGGTGGATGATAATGAGCATGAGGTCAGGTCAGTTAGCCAGTGAGTCAGGTGATGGTCTCCAGGGGGAACCGCGTGAAGTTCTACTTGACATCATGGTACATTGCTAGCAATTGGGTCATCGATCTACATTACTTACAATCTCCATTCCGTTCCACATTTTTTGATGTTAGTACCTCATATGCAATTATTGAAATTGTTAATTTTAAATTACAAGCAGAGTTATTTGCAAACAAATTATCTAACATATGAACATTGTTATTATTAAGTGAGAGGTGATTGTATATATTTCCCATCCCATAAATTAGACCAATAGGGGTTGCCCAGTTTAAAACACTGATTCACAAGAATACGCACAGCCTGCGTCGCGTCTAACATTTATAATGGCGCCCTTAATTATATCGTTTCCGTAGAACTAGAAAGTGGATAGTATCGGATCTGTGTTAATTGGCAAGTTTCCACACCCCATAAGGTGTTTTTCTGCTCCCTAAATGCATTCTTTAGCAATTAACAACAAGGGAGTCTCTATTAATTTATAGTTTTTATATTGTTCTTAGAATCACGGCGTGTAGGCGCGGCGTTTTATGTAGCAATATTATAAATGGAAAAGTTACTGGCTATTTGTTACGTTATTACCAATAACGGCTGAATAGTTTTTAATTAAATTTTAAGTAAAGATAGATTGTATCTCAACGACAGAAATAAGACATCTATTATCTAAAAAAATAAATAAATTGGAAAGGGTGAAATAAGCTTAGAAAGTATGCATAAACACGATTTAACTAACGTGTAACAATTAGATATATAAAATAAAATGCTCTAACACTATAAATTTATTAATACCTGTTGTTTTAAGTTGAAATGTGTGAATACAGACTACCAATAAGCACTAATTCGATATCAAAATATTTAAGACAACCAACTGAATAAGTAACTTTATAAGAATAAATCAGTCGTAGTGATCAGAGCGAACGAATCCTCACAAACAGCAATCGTTCACGAGCATGACGGATGAGCCAACCATCACTGAATCATCAATCATCATCACATGAAATAGAATACCAGTGAAGAATTGTTTCACGAAAGTTATACCATGACACTATTATCTCAGTATTACACATTTATTATCCAATATTTCCGTATATTGTTTAAACTTGCTTATCACCAAATTCCACACAAATGAGATAATTTTAAGCCATCTTTGTCATCTTAAGACCCGGCCATATAGTAATAACTAACTGTAATACACGTCGAATATAGCCACACTCGACGTGTATTACAGTTAGTTATTACTATGTGCTCCCTGTTTTTCCCCAAACTATTCTAATAATGTTGGAGTTTGGTTAAGAACACTAACGATTTATGCGAGCGGGGCACCAGTGGAGGATGATAAAATGAGCATAAAGTCAGGTCAGTTAGACCTTGGCCAATGGCAATTTACCACGATGTTTTCCAGGGAGCACCGGGCGGAGGTCAACCTGATTTGATACGTTGCTAGCAATGGTGTTATTAGTCCACGTTACTAATAATCCCTTTCTCCCCTTTTGTACCTAGTTGAACCGGCTGTATTAAGTTAAAGATTCTGTGATTAAAGATATCTAATTGGGGACGTTATTGACGGTATTGACGTTAGTCCAGTAATTGTTGTTAAAGCATTTTACCTGTTTTGACGGCCTCGGTGGTTTAGCGGTTTAACACCGCTTTACTTCCAATGGTCGCGGGTTCGATTCCTCGCACAATGCAACCATTGTATTTATGAGTATGATTGTTTGTATCGCTCTGGGTGTTTACTATATATATTATGTATGTATTTACAAATAAAATATCTAAGTATTTACGTCAGTTTTAAAACCAGTAACCATAACACAAACTCTGCTTACCGTGGGTATAGATGGCGCTGTGTTGATTGTCCAGGGTTATTTACTTATTATTTTATTAATGTAAAACTGTACAAATAAAATACATATATATAATAATGTTGTAAGTAGTCTTCTTTGGCAGTCGGGTAAAAAGTGTCATTTAATTTACCTTTTCTTTTAAAATGACTTCGAAAGGGAAACTCATTAATAACACATATTCGCTGGAAGGATGCATAAAAACAAAGTTAAAAAAAGGTCCCCAGTATGTTAAGGTATCGTGTCATCGACTGCTTGTTATTCAGCTGATGTATAATGACAGGGTGTCCAATTATACGAACTTTATTAATTCAGATTCGGCAGTCGTATTTTATCTTTATTTATCTAGTATAGTACTTTAAAGATGTATTACATATGAATGTGGTGGTTGTAAGGGCAGAGGATACCGAAAAATAGATTGAAGGACTTTGTAAAAGATGATATTGCCAAAAACGGAGTATAACGATAAGGGAGTCATAACGAGATGCGAACAGGGATGAATGGAAGAGAAAAATATATTATTACGCCGACCCCAAATATAAATAAATGGTATAAGGAAGAAGCAGATGATGATGATCTAGTATAGTAATAATATTCGTGTATGAATCACACAAAGCCATTTAATCCAAAGCTAAGGAGAGCTTGTCTTAAGGGTACTAGACAAATCATAATAATAACTTTGATACATTTTTAAATACATACATAATATACGTAGTAAACACCCAAACCGATACAAACATATTCATGAATACGAAAGTCGCACGGTACAAGTGCGAGGAATTGAACCCGCAAACATCGGAAGTAAAAGGAAGGTGTGGTACGGTAAGGTAACGACCATGACCGACGGCCGACTTATCCAATTTTCTTAAAATTACTTAATACGTAGCATTTTAAATAGAGAAGGAATTGTAGCATCTTTATTGGCAATTTTTTCTCCAATGAAACATGATCATCATCATCTGCTTCTTCGGGTCGGTGTATATGTTTTTATCGTCCAATAAAACATTATCACAGTGACGAAATTGCAGCCAATAATACTGAAACCATACATATAAATAGAACTTGAATGTGCTTACTCAAAAGGCCTTAAAGCAATCTCTTATAGACAACCTTATTATTAAATACTTGTTTTTATACTGAACTTTTTTGAGAGAAGCAATCAAAAATAGCATGTACCATTTTAAGAGTTCACACTTCCGAAATACCGATGTGAGGTCGTTAGTAAATCGCAGACAGAAAATATACCGTCTCGACACAATTGTCGCCGGAGGCACAGTATAGTCACAAACTTGTTATTAATATTAGAAAATATAAAGAGATTTGCCCTCTGGCAACACCATTCATTGGTCAAAATGGTATTGTACATTTTGCGACCACTGTGGCGCTATAATAAGACATTGGCATCTTAATAGGTCCCGTGTTCGATTACCGTTATTATAGTATACCAAAGAAGAGGGGGAGATTAGTTAAGGGAAACCCTATACAAAATGAAAATTATCTTACTAATATATAAATGCAAAATTTTGTGAGTATGTATGGATAGATGTTTGTTACTCTTTCACGCAAAAACTACTGCACGAGTTTTGATAAAGCTTTACAGTAATATATCTTATATATCAGCAATTATTCTATAACTAGCTCATCAGCGCAACTACATCTGCCTCACACTTTTACTTGATCGTTTATTCTTATATTTCGCCCAATATACATAATATATTTTTAAATTAATAATAATTTAACGACTATACATCAAAATAACATATAGACCATTCTGATGTATGTGCTAATAGCCGTTCAGTAGTTTTTATGTAAGAGTAGCAAACATCCATACATCCATTCATACTCACAAACATTTACGTTTATTTTTATTAGTTAGATTATTTATGTACTTGTATTCATTCATTCTTAATATAAAAGTTACGCTGTTATCGGTGGAGTTCTTGCCACTTTCCGAGATCTTCCATCATGCTCTTTAAATGTTAATACAACACTACTCCCATTTTGTCTTTAATTTGCTTGATGTACCTGTGCGTTGTAATAACTGTAATAAAAGTACTTGTAATAAGGTATTATTTGCACTGCAATTGCAACAATACAAATAACATTTTAAATATCATTGTCTTCGTTTTTTATTGCTTACTAATGACAAAAGGTACAGTTTAATATGTCCTCGGTTTGTCGCAATAACTGTCACTCTACACCGGCGGATATGCGCCGATCGCGTTTGCACGAACCGCGGTATGCGCTGTTTCCGCTGCACACCTACATTGATAATTTTGACATAATTTGTTTAAAAAATACATTCTTTACATTAACGTAAGCATTGTAATAAGAACAAGTTTATATCTACTATGCGACCTATACTATTTCACGGCCTCGGTGATCTAGTGGTTAGCCTAGATCACTACCTTATTTCGGATGGTTGCAGGTTTAGTTTCTCACATGGTATAAACATTTGTTTTCATGAACTACCTATACTGCCTAGACTATATCGTCACCTCGGTGGTCTAGTGGTTTAGCACACCACCTTTCTTCGGATAGTTGCGGGTTTGGTTCCTCACATGATATAAACATTTGTATTCATGAATATGATTGTTTGTAAAGGTCTGAGTATATTTATGTATATTATGTATGTGTAAAAAAAAACGCTACATTATCAGCGTTGGTGTATATATATATACTATACTCTCTTATTTTAATTTCTCTTATTTTAAAAAATACCATTATAACAATAAAATGCATCTTTATGAAGCCACTGCTTAAGTGATTGCATTCTGATAGCCGGTCACTTTATCTACTACTAGAACTGTAATTGTTACAATTTTTATTAATTTACCTGTTTGTACTTTCAGAAACGTCTCAAGAATTTAGTAATGTATTTTAGACGCGCAGCTACTGTTAAACAAATTGATCGTTACTTATATAA